AGTAGGAACGGAGGGGTGTTAAGTCGGTGATCCGGCTTGCCCCCACAGTGACCGTGCTTCGTTCCACAAGTAGGTTGTCCCATTGAACCCAGGTTCCACCTAGGTTGGGTTTTCCTTCATGGAACGTTCCCAGCACAGGGTAGGGCTTTCAGACCCATTCCTACCACTAACTTCTCATGTTGCTCATTGGTTAACCCTTTGGTTAATGGATCCGCTAAATTATCCTTCGACTTGACATAGTCAATCGAGATAATACTTGTATTGAGAAGTTGCCTAATGGTTTTGTGTCTACGGCGAATATGCCTAGACTTACCATTATACAATTTGTTCTGAGCTCTTCCTATTGCTGACTGACAGTCACAATAAATGCAAATAGGAGGAACTGATTTTTCCCAGTTTGGAATATCCTCAAGTAAATTCCGAAGCCATTCGGCATGTTCTGCACACTTGTCCAGCGCTATGAACTCAGACTCCATGGTGGATCTGACAATTAACGTTTGTTTTGAGGATTTCCAGGATACAGCTGCACCGGCTAGCATAAAGACAAATCCACTTCTGGATTTTGAATCCTTATTATCCGCAATCCAATTGGCATCAGTGTATCCTTCCAGTACGGGAGGATACCTGCCGTAGCATAGGCTATAATCTCGAGTATACCGAAGGTATCTCATTACTCGGACTATGGCCTTCCAGTGCTCAGCACTCGGATTGCTCGTATACCTACTTAGTTTGCTAATGGCGCAAGCTAAGTCTGGCCGCGTACAGCTCATTAGATACATCAAACTTCCGATGACTCTAGCGTATTCTGTCTGAGAATCGCTACTCCCTCGGTGTTTACCAAGGTGAACATTTACATCTATCGGCGTCTTAGCTATCTTTGTATCATCCTTGTTGAATTTCTCAAGGATCTTGTCAATGTAGTGGGATTGGCTCAAGCTCAGACCATCCGGTCTTCTTAGTATTTTGATTCCGAGAATCACATCAGCCAGACCCAAATCTTTCATATCGAATCGTGCATTCAACATGTCCTTGGTGGACTTGACCATCCTATCGTTGCTTCCAACGATGAGTATGTCGTCTACGTACAGACATAAAATGACATACCCTTCAGATGTGTCTTTAAAGTATACGCACTTATCCGACTCATTTATCTTAAAACCGTTATTCATCATTACCTCGTCAAACTTATCATGCCATACTTTTGGCGCTTGTTTAAGACCGTATAATGATTTTACAAGTTTGCAGACCTTCTTTTCTTGGCCCGGAACCTTAAACCCTTCGGGTTGTTCCATATATATTTCTTCATCTAGTTCGCCATTTAGAAAAGCTGTCTTCACATCTATTTGGTAAACATCCAAGTTTCGTAAGGATGCAAATGCGATGATCATTCTGATAGAATCTATCCTAGTCACAAGCGCATAAGTATCAAAGTAGTCATAGCCCTCGCGTTGGCTATACCCCTTGATCACAAGTCTCGCTTTGTACTTGTCAATGGAGCCGTCAGGCTTCATTTTCCTCCGAAAGACCCATTTGGAACCTAATGGCTTACACCCTGGAGGGAGATCAACCAGTTCCCAAGTGTGATTCTGAAGGATAGAATCAACTTCACTCTTTATGGCCTCTTGCCACTGAGGTCCCTCTGTTGAGGTTACGGCCTCGTGATAGGTTCGCNTCGGGTTGTTCCATATAGATTTCTTCATCTAGTTCGCCATTTAGAAAAGCTGTCTTCACATCCATTTGGTAAACATCCAAGTTTCGTAAGGATGCAAATGCGATGATCATTCTGATAGAATCTATCCTAGTCACAGGCGCGTAAGTATCAAAGTAGTCATAGCCCTCGCGTTGGCTATACCCCTTGATCACAAGTCTCGCTTTGTACTTGTCAATGGAGCCGTCAGGCTTCATTTTCCTCCGAAAGACCCATTTGGAACCTAATGGCTTACACCCTGGAGGGAGATCAACCAGTTCCCAAGTGTGATTCTGAAGGATAGAATCAACTTCACTCTTTATGGCCTCTTGCCACTGAGGTCCCTCTGTTGAGGTTACGGCCTCGTGATAGGTTCGCAGTTCCTTTTCTACCAAACAGGTTAGAATATCGGGTTCATTTTCCATTAGAATTGACAAAGTTCCTTTGTCAAATTCTATCAGATATGTTATGAAGTCAGAACCGAACGTCTTTTCAGTTCGCATTCTTTTACTTCGTCTTAGTTCAGTCTCATGTTCGACTTCATCATCATCGTCATCGGAATTCAACTGATTTGGATCATCATTATCCATCATCTCAGCATAAGAACGTTTGGACGAACTGGCTTCGTCACTTGACTTGCATGGAAAAATATGCTCGAAAAATGTTGCATTCCGTGACTCGATGATTGTGTTCTTGTGAATTTCAGGATTATCTGATTTATACACCAAGAACCGGTATGACGTACTATTGTACCCGATGAAGATTCCATCAACTGTTTTTGGACCGATCTTCATCTTCTTCGGTGGTGGTGCAAGTACTTTCGCGAGACACCCCCACACTTTGAGATACTTATAGGAAGGTTTCCTATTATGCCATAGTTCATACGGAGTTTTGTCAAGTTTCTTACGAGGTATTTTATTTAGTAAATAATTACTTGATAAAACAGTCTCTCCCCACATGTTCTGAGGTAATCCAGAACTAAGCAGCATCGCATTCATCATGTCTTTTAGAGTGCGATTCTTGCGCTCCGCTACTCCGTTAGACTGTGGTGTATACGGTGGGGTTACTTGATGCACAATTCTATGTTGTGCACAAAACTCATTGAGTGGAGCATCATACTCACCACCTCTATCGCTTCTCAATGCTTTTATCTTGCGATTGAGTTGATTTTCCACTTCATTCTTATATCGAACGAAAGTGTCTAACGCTTTATCTTTACTTTTTAGTAAATAGATATAGCAATATTTCGTGCTATCATCGACGAAGGTAATAAAGTACTTATTACCCCCTCTTGAAGGTGTTGTTCGAAAATCACACAAGTCGGTGTGAACCAACTCTAGAGGTTGAGTGTTCCGTTCGATCGTTTGAAACGAACTTCGAGTTGACTTAGCCTCAACACAAGTTTCGCACTTGTGGGTTAGGTCAATACTAAACTTAGGTATGTGTTCCTATTAATTAATTTCCGGAGAGATGCATAATTAACATGCCCTAGTCTACCATGCCATAAACTAGAAGACTCAAACACATAAGCAACAGGATTTTTATTGATCTTTTCATGAACAGTCATTACATTAAGCTTAACAAGCCCATCAGAAATGTAACCCTTCCCAATAAAAATCCCTTTCTTGGATAAGATTAGCTTGTCTGATTCAAACACCATCCGAAAGCCGTGTTTGATCAACAATGACCCCGACACTAAATTCTTGCGAATGTCTGGCACATAGAGCACGTCGTTGAGCGTGAGCTCCTTGCCGGAAGTCATTTTCAGCTTGATCTTTCCAATCCCTTGAACCTCTGATTGGGCCGAATTGCCCATCCACACCTTGTCACCGGAGCTCTCTTGAAAGTCGTGAAACATGCTCCGATTTGAACAAATATGGCGTGTGGCTCCTGTGTCCACAAACCATTCCTTCGGGTTTGACCCGACGAGATTCACTTCGGTGACAACCGCGCAGAGGTCCAAGTTGTCAAGCTCCGTACACATGGCTTCTATGGTTTTCTTCTTTCCCTTTTGTGGCTTCTTTTTCCTACAATCGGAGGAACGATGCCCAGTAATGCCACAATTGTAGCATTTTCCTGCAAATTTAGAAACACCACCCTTAGGACCCATTTTCTTTTTGTCCTTCCCGCCATGTGAGGAGCCCGACGGATGTTCTACAACATTCGCCTTTGCCCCTCCACTTCTTCTAGCAAGCCCCTCCTCTCTGATTCTCAGTCGTGTGAGCAGTTGCTCCAGGTTTAGCTCTGTTCTTTTGAGCTTGAGGTCGGCTTGGAAGTCTTCCCACGATCGGGGAAGTTTGTGGATGATGGCTGCCACTTGGAATTCCTCACTGACGCCTACTTTCTCTTCATTGCATTTATTGAAGATGACCGTAAGCTCTTCAGCTTGGGCGACAACAGATTTGTTGTCAACCATCTTGTAGTCCAGCATCTTCCCGACGATGAACTTCTTCGTGCCGGCATCTTCAGCTTGATACTTCTTGTTCAAGCCATTCCAAAGCTCTTTTGCAAGCTTAGCACCGGCATAGACGGGGTACAACGTATCTCCCAGCCCTTCAAGAATAATATTTATGGCGAGATAGTTGTTGTGGTACCACGCTTGGTTCACCATCGCCACAAGGGGGTCGTTGGCTTCATTGGGCTGGGGGGATCTTGCTGTAGGTACTCAGCAAATCCCAAGACGGTCAAAAAGAACATCATCTTTTGTTGCCACATCTTGAAGTTTGTTCCATTGAACTTCGGTGGCCTTTGGACCGAGCTAGCGGGCACTGAGATGGCCCCCACCGCATTGGGCGTATGGAGGAAAGGCCCGTTGCTCGCCCAATGGGGTCCAAAAGGATTGACCGGTGCGGGGAAACCCGCGTTCGGTCCAAAGTTGACCGTTGAGGCCGAAGCCGTAGTCGGTCCAAGAAACGGGTTTGAATTGCCGACGGGGTAATCCCCCGTGGTTTCTAGCCCAGGGATGGGTCGAGGGGCCGACCTGAAAATCGAGCTCGGCATCGAGAAGGAGGTCATGGTGGCAGCCCCCACACTCGACCCGAAGGGCAGCGGTGAGGAAGGCACAACCATGGCGACCGAGGTGGTTTCGACCGGAACTTCGGAACTCATTCCGTTGCCGGAGGAACCCGCGATGCCGAATCCGAATTCCATACTACTACCTTAAGATTGTTAATCTATTACAGCGGGAAAATAAAAGTAAAATAATCCGAACTTATAAAACGTTCGGATTTTACAACAAAATAAAAGAAAATAAAATTTGGAGTCTTCGGATGCTTGAACGAACGGAAGAACACGAACGGACGGAGAGAGGAACGACGCCGGAGCAAAGAATGGTAAGGAAAGCGGAGTCGCCGAAGCTTTCCTTAAGGTAGTATTGCCCGCCTCCCGCACTGGCTAACGTGGGCAATCTCCTCCCAGGATAAAACCGCTTCGCGCTAGGTCTAGAGCGGTAGAACAAAGCACCGGCGAACGAGAATGACGAGAGTTATAGCCAGAGAAGGTAATCGGAAATGGGAGATGGTCGGAAAGTTGTAACGCAGAGAGAGAGAGAGATTTTCGAGTGTTTGCTATGTCTTTTCTCCCTGCAACCAACCCTCCTTTTATAGGAGCGGAATTGGCTCCTCAACTGGACTGCGCGTGTCATGCCGAGCCGGACGGACGGCGGCGGCGGCGGGCGCGCGAGGAGTCCTCTTCTTGTTCCTTTCATAAGCTCACTTCAATGTCTAAGCTTAAATATGAGAATACGAAAGGTTTAGAAACCGGTGTGGGACAAAGGCATTTACTCTACCTTAGAATTCAACTTTGAGAATTAATTTCTCATTCACCCGAGCACCGTTTATGGCGTGTAATATGTCAAGACGTCCGTCTTACTTACGAGATTAATCGTCCATAATTATTTTGAAAAATAATTTGTGGACCCAACCGAATTTATGTCCGAAAATCGTCCAATTTACTTAAAAATTTCCAACATTATTTTTATCAGTTCATTTAATTTAAATTACTAAAACTAAAAACATAAATTAAACATTTCATTAATATTTAATAAAAAATTTTTTAAAAATGTGCATACATAAAAAATTTAGATATACATAATAAAAAATTAAAAGTACATAAATAAAAAATTACTTACCATTAGCAATCTAATGAGATTTTCATTTATGTTCAACCAAATCAGCACAGAGGTCTAGGTGTGCATGCTCGTCATGTAATGTCAACTTATCGGTCTCTTGTTGTGCCACATCCACCGGCTCAACGTTCTTATCAACTTCGTTCGGATCGTATTTGCATATCGCATGACCCTCATTTTCGATTATCTTGTTATGCATACGATAAAAGCGTACATAACATATTTTAATTTTTTTGAGTGAGAATATACGTGTTAGGTTTTGCACGATGTGTCATTTCTATTTTAGAGCACCAAATCATTATAAATTTGCAATTTTATGCAATTTCAAAAACTGATGTTGAGTGAAAATCAATTGAAGAATTATGCCTTGTAATTCCTAGACTCTCATTAACTACGTTAGATAAGAGGATTCCTTTCAAGTTTAATTTCAAAAGAACAATTTTCTATCATGACTCCATTTGCAATGACTATTAAGAAAAATCGAGGATAATCTCTGTCTTCTGTTGTTCTACTAAAAAATCTGCATTCAGTCATAGTCAACTTACGTTCCTATTTCACGCTTGACAAATCAACAAGCATTTTAGATCTTGACTTGGGACAAAGAAAATAATCCTCCGAATCATACTTGGAATGTTGTATATAAAGAAATTTTTTAAAATTTATGATTATATTTCTATTTAAATAATATCGCACAATATTGATTAATTGGTATACTATATACTACATTATACCATTTATACTAACTATTTATATAAATTTGAGATTAACTGACTTATCATCTTATCCCTAATCATGGACTATTTTTTATGTTTCATACCTTTTATCATTGGATAAAAATTTTGTTGTGCATCGCACGGGTTAAAATCTAATTGTTACAAATTCAAATATACTTGTATTATGTTGTTGAAAATGAGACATTTATTTTATTTTATTTTAATTAAGGTTGTTAAGTTTTGGCCAAATGTTTCAAAATATTATACTGAACATTTTAACTTTTGTAGTTCTTTAAAGGTCATCTTTATAATGTGAATATAGTATTTGTTACCCTTTTGATAAAAAAAGTCATTCCTATTTGTGGGTCAAAAACTTGATAAGTTGTGTAATGCATTCATGTGAGTGTAAAATTTGATATTCTTGTGTGCTTGTGTATGGAAATAGATAAAAATACTCAACGGGTCTCAAGTCTCAACTTTCAAACTGAGACAATAAAATTGTAATGTGCCATCAAGCAACGGTACAGACTGCATTGTTGAAAACTCGTCTTGAATAAGCATAATTTTACGATGCACTCGTACAAATACGTGCCGATTTCATGTTGCAATCGTTCGAGTAAGCCTCCAAAAATAACATTTGAATTTATTTTAGCCCTCATACTGTGTCATACACCAACTGCACTATCAAGTTGAAGTTAGACAAGAGTGCATTTCCACACCTGATCTGGTCCCAATCTCCAAAGTTTCTGTGGGTTTTAATGGGAGTATACACACAGAACTCATTATGAGTCAATGGAGGAAGTGTAGAGGAGGAAAGATGAAGTATTAGTATAGCTGGATATGAGCTTCTTCCCTGCTGAAGTTGGCTGAGAGAATGCCAGCTCAGCCCGCTCTAGAACTACACCATCACAGAAAGTTTTCCTGCATTGAAGTGACAAAGAAATCGATTAGATTCACTAAAAAGCAATTAAGATATGTGCAGAATTCAAAGATGTGCAAATTTGATGAAAAGCCCGTGGCGTTCATTTTTCTTGGTTCAAGAAATTTGTGCAAATTCTTTCACTCATTACGCCAACTGAGGCATTTGATCAAGGTTCAATAAAGGCAGCTAGTAAAGTCATGAAGCACCTTCAAGTGTAAAGGAATTTGAGATATCCATAATAAAGAAACCAAAGGGTAGTCTGTGAGTACGATATTACCTAGCAGCATCCAGCAGATAACTAGCAATGTGTTTTCTTCTATTGGAAGGGCTGACCCAAATGGCTCGAATGCCACATGAAGCAGATACGCCATCTTTCTCACACAAGATAACTCCATTTAGGAGTTCATCCAAAGCTTCGTGTTTCTCCTTAGAGGGGTCTCTTCTGACCTTTTCCCTTTGAAAACTGACCCCTCCAAATTGCAGAACTGGTGAATCCCGACTTGGTTCTGTTTTAGCCAAAGTACTAGGGCCGTTGTCTGATGAACTAGAGACAATTCTATATGCCTTCTCTATAGGTTCTACCATCAGGCATCCCGCAATTCTTCGGGAGGATATATATAGATACACCTGCAATTAGAGAAGATACTAATTTTCATCTAAAAATTTATGTTCAAGATTGCAGTTTGACAAGATACTGAGAATGGACAACAAACTGACACCTTCATTCATATAGCATTAATTTCAAAAGAGAAAAATGAGCTTGTGTGCTTGTGAGACAAGAACACAAAAAGAGTACACTAACAACCTAGTATAATCCCAACTTTGTTACGCGGGGGGGGAGACTGTATGCAACCTTAGCCTCGTAAAATATAGAGATACTGTTTCCACTAGATCCTTAATGCATTGCTCCATTTACTACCTAGAACTTCATTGACACTATGTTTGGTTCAAGGAATTTGAGAGGGAAAGGAAATGAAAATGAGAAGGAAAACATTTTTCTTGTTTGGTTAGAGAGGAAAAGAAAAGAAAAGTGGAAGGAAAAGAAAATGAGAAGGCAAAATGTACTAAGAGGAAGGAAAACCAAATTCCTCCCATTTTGATGAGGAAAATGAGGGAAAACATGTTTCTTTTCTTTTCTTCCAAATTCCTTGAACCAAACATAGTGTGAAAGTAAGAAGCAAAGGAAGTGTAATGAGCCATTTTGATCTAGTCCATTATTTACCCAAAATGAAAACATTGTCAATTACAACTTTTTAGCTCCATTGGCAATGGGCATACAAGTTCAAAAGAGTTTGGGGTGGAAAACACTATGCACAAAAAAAAGGGTTCCATGATTCGGTTTAAATGTTAAGCGACATGATATGAAGAGTTTCTGTAACCTTGCACCGTTGATGATATATCCAGCCATCTCCGAGTTCCATCTCCATCATCTTTACAACTTCCTGAACCTGATAAATATGCCAGAATCTCTTAGTTAACACTTAACTATACTGATAATTAAATGTCCATGCTCGCGTTTCTTTAGGAAACAAAGAGGTTCACCTTATTTCTCCAGGGAGGAGAGTCATCATTTAACACCGATATGATACGTCCTGCTTCACAAGGACTTGGTATGATCCTTTCATTTTGCCAACCCTAGAATGCAAATCGAATATCTGTGAGTATATTACACAGAAATTGATCACATTGAATTTATTAAGAGTAAAAGTGAGCCAGAGGCTTGTGAACCTTAAATGGGATTCCCTGAGTGTAATTCCTGTGAACTGTTTGGTGAACCTTCTCATCCCCTTCTTCACCAGTGGCATACCGGAACCCGCACACTTTACAAGTGTGCAGTAGAAAATCAGACTGACCCAATTCCAAATGAAATTGGGCATACTTCCTCTTCTTATTCAGATTCTTTTGAAGTGAACTCCCTGAACCAATTTTCTTGGGCAACAATTCACCATTTGATTCATCTCTGATATCATTGAAAACATCAGATAAAAGAGTGATTGGTTATCTCTTCAAGAAGATGACACAACTATGAAATCGAAGAGTCCGTTTGAAATGAATTGCAGGGAAACGAAGATTAACCAGGGGATTCAAAAGCTAATTCAAGAAATTGCAGAGATAGAGAACGTACCCGCACGGATCGGAAGTTCTGGGCTTGTGGGTAATGGTGGTTCCTGGGTATTCCTTGTTTGTTTCCTTGCCGCCGTAGGGCGAATCGCCGGAGATCGGAGAGGCGGCGAAGGTCTTGGGAGTGCGGGGCTTGAAATATGCTTTGATTTTCGACTGCATATGTTTTTTCCTTTGTTGGATTGAGACTATGGAGAGATGATTGGCTACGATTTCATAGCTATGAACTGGTATGGCTCACGAGCAAAGCGCGAATTATTAGCGGCAAAATGTTTTTTTTGCTCGGCGAACAGTGTGATTTTCCCGCCAGTTTGGAGATTCCGGTCCCGACCAAATAGACCGGAATTGAAAGGAATGACTGAAACTGAACTTCGGTTTGGACCGAATTGAACCGGAGTTTTTATCCGGTTTCGGGCATTTATTGCGAACTATTTGTCCCATCTTATTTACGGAGTATTTTTTTTTTGGGAAAAAAAAGCAGAGGAGAAAAACAAAAATGTTGCAGTTTCCTGCTTTCATGCGACAGTATCCATGGTCTTCCGAGATCATTCCGACGTCGTTTCTTCTTCCTGCCCAGTGGCCCAAGCTTCACGGCGACGAGCTCCTCTTAGCCATGGAGGAGTCTGATTACGAGGAAAAGGTTTGCGCTCTCATCTATTCACCCAACATAATTTCTCACGCAAAACTGTTCTTCGTCTGGGATTTTTAAATTAGGGTTACCAGTCTTAGACTTCGATGAATTTGAAAAAGCAGTGCTTAGACTTACATGATTAATCACTACTTTAATTTTACTCTGTGTGTGTTTGCGCTTAAAAAATTGTCTGGTTTGCTTTACTTGTTTGATCTTGAATTTTTATGATCGCAATTCACAAGGATGGATTGCAAAATTGAATGATTATTGGAACATTGGCTATTGAATCTTTCTGAGTTTTGAGATCATATGCTATAATTTTTTGATGATTTAGTTTCATTTTGCCACTTCTCCACGAAAATTACATCCTTTACGAACAGGTTGGATCATATGAGTGATTTTATTAGAAATGATAGGATCTGGGAAGCATGGAAAAGATGATGCTTCTATGCCGATTAAAAAAAAAGAAGTCATTTATCTAATAGTTTTTAAGTTACTGTTACTAATAGTTTCAAAGAACTCAATTTTTCCAAACAAGCCCCAACATAGCTGGATGCTATGGTCTGTAATACAAAAACTTATAAAACTATTAGTATTTGAATCTAACTTTTTTGTGTTGTACATTAAGGCCCTTTGCTAAACATGCTATTACATAATAGCCAAGGTCAGCTTCTGTATTATTGGGATATATGAGTTGCATTCTCCGGTTTCGAATTGGCAGATGTAAGGAACAGTATAGGAAGTGATGTAATTGCTTTCACGTCACCTTCATTTACCAATTAATGGATGTGTCAACTACGGTTTATTGATCAATTTGCTGCAAAATGAATAGCCATAAGATGGTGTGCCTTTCATCTCATAACTGGGTAACAGGTTAAGTATTTCATTCCATGTAGACCTATATTGTTTAGAAGTAAACAAAATCTCAAGTTTCATGAAAAGCATTAGGAAATCCAGTATGCAAAGATACAAGTTGCCTAATTTGGATGTGGACTGTTAGGGAACAAATGGACCTAGCCAATCCAATTGTAGGACCCAATAAGCAGTGGCAGATCTAGAGTGGGAATTCACTCGGAGAACTAACACTGTATGTTGCCGATAAGTTTTAAATTCCGTATAATACTTGTGTTTACCATTATCTTTCATTTCTCCTTTGTGAAATCGTGTTTTTATTAAAAATTTCAATGAATAGAAAAATAATCTATGAATTCAAGTATTCAAAAAACTAACAAAGTGAGAACTCTAACTGTCTAACACTATGTTTGGTATGAGGAAGTTGAAATTGAAAAGAAAAGACAATGATATAAAAACAATTTTTTTTTTGCTTAGAGAGAAAAAGAAAAGAAAATTACAAGAAAAGATAATGAAATGAGAAAACAAACTAAGAAAAGGGGAAAAAATTACTCCAATTTTGGTGAAGAAAATTAGAGAAAACTACCCTCTATGTTTCTTTTCCTTCTCAATTCCACAACCAAAACATAATGTAACAAAAATATATTTCTTCCGTCTTAAATAAAGTGTTGAATGTTGAGTAAAACTGTTGAATATAAAAATATACGAAGTTTAAATTTATTTTGAGAGATAAATATTTTGAGTTTAAAGTTCATTCCCGAATAGCAAAGTAAGGAAATACGGAATTCTTCAAACTTGTGAATTTCTAGATCAATGTCTCTCAATTTTCTTTGAGTTCTTTCTTCATCTATGTCTACCTATGTTGCTTGTTTTCAACCATGGATATATTTGAAGAGCTCAATATTTTGTGTGGGCTAGATACTATTATACTCACCAAAGTACTAGATATATTATTATATTAAACAAAAAAGGATTATTTGACTGGGGGCCGTTGCCCCCACTAATGTAAACGTAGATCCGCCCATGCCAATAAGGCAATAATCAATTGACTTTGTAAATAGAAACCCTTTCTTAAATGCCCAAGGTGTTGTACACTCGTACTGCCGTGGAACATGACACACTGGAGACCAAGTTAGAACACATGTGCTCATATCTGTAGTTAATTGATCTTTATCCATTCTTATTAGCATGAGTGAGCAAATAGTGCCAAGACAAATGTCATTAGGAGTTTAAGATGTACATGTCATTAGGAAATTGGGAAATAGTGGGATTCTTACATTTTTAATATTTGAAGTGGTTAAGTGGCGCGTTTTAAGTTGATCAATTGAGGATTCGGGGTAGTAGTCTATTTGACCGTTTTAGGCTCTATAGAGTAAAAGACAGTTCAATGAGTTTTAAAAGTTGTACCATCCCAAAGGTTGTATTATGATCAAACGAGATTTGTTTTCTTTTCTTTTTGTTTGATTTTTGGGATGGATGCGTACTTCCAATTTCCACAGGAGCATCAGTCCTGGTTGAGTTACAACTTTTTATTTCTGGTGAGGTACAGACTTTTAATTTTTGGCTAGGAGCAACTCTTAGTCATGGAATCCTACGTAAATTTCTATAATATTTTTGTTGTTGTTTCGGTTAAGCTTATCATATATAACTTTTTTGCTAATCTTTATAAGAAAGTTATGTGAAATGAATGTTTAACTTTATCATATACCTCATATAACTTATCTGGTAAAATAAACTGTTAAAACATGTTTCTTTTGTTAAGACTAGCTCGTAATAGATATGAAGTGTTGGATTTGATTATAGGTGTGTCAACCACATGTTATTATTTTAAGTTTAAAAGTAATATTTCAATACTTATTCATATCCCATGCGGAGAGAAACTCTAAATTTTGCAGTTTATCTGTATGCCAAACAAAGCCGCGTTTGGAGCTCATGTTGATGATGAATAGAGCATAGACATGATTTCTTGAGCCTAGAAATGATTTATGCATGGCATTATGTTTTTTGCTTAAACCCATATTTGGATTTATCCCATGGATCAAAGACGTGAGACGTTTCATGTCTTGACCGTTGTTTACAAGTTAATTACGGAGTATTTAACTTTCAAGTTATTACAGAGTATTATAGTTGTACATATGTGTAAGCTGAGTCTTTTCTTTTGGTCTTGAACTCAATTTCAAATTTCAAAATAGAATCTATTTATGGAAACAAAATCATAGATCGCACTAAAACATACTCAGTCCAAAACAATACCATGTTTGGTCAAAGTACAGCTTTATAGTTTTGGCAAGGTGCAAGCTTTAAAAGTCATGGAATCCATGTTTTATAAAATTCTTTTACAGCTAAATTTATGATATTGAACTTGTTTGTAACCCTTGTTAGCACAGAGCATGTCAGACATGATAAATTTAACTCAGTTCATGAAACATGAACATTTTAGACAGAAAAAAAAGGCAAAAAACTCTTGAAAGATGACTTCTTTTTTGGGCGAGTTTAGTGACACTCTTTTCTCTGTGATGTACATCCCTGTAATGAGATCATTATCATCCTTTTGTTTAGAGCCTGTTTGGGCCCCTACGCTTCACTTATTTTATGAATTCTCATCACTCTATATTATTTATTTCATGAACTACATAATTGCAGATCAGTGAGATTGGAAAGTTTAACAGCAACTTAACTGTGATTGGGAAGGGCTATTCAGTTGATAACGACAAAGAAGATGTTGACAATGAAGCGGATGATGATGATGATGATGTCAACAATGGTGAAGAAGAGTCTGAGGCCGATGACTTTGATCAGGAAACTGGCTGACTTTTATCTTTTAGCCCATTAAACATCATCACTTCTATTTGCCACCACTCTTAATCTGCTCCTCTTCAACAGTATATGCACTTTGAGTTGAATAATGTACATTGGTTCCTTCAGAAATTGGCATTCTCCTAGCCTCATGTAGCTGCTATCTTTGCGCCTGGTAATGGTACTATTGTTTATTAGAGCGAATTCAGAGGTCATCGATTTCTTTGCGTACCGTTCTTGCCTAGATAATTATTTGTCCAAACACTAACTATGGTTAGTCATAAGGTGATGCAATTAGTGGCCTTTTTGATGTGGATGCTTTTGGCTAACACTAGGAGATCACCTCTCACTTAAGACTCCCATTGGGCTTGTGAAAATCACTAATGCCATCAATTGGTTTCTTTGTTTTCCTCTAGCCTTTGGTGTTTTTTTGGTCAAATCAATTATAGACTCTTACTTTTAGGGGCATTGTAAGCGCTCGCTCGATCGAGCTATTTCCCGAGTACTATTTTATTGGATTTTGAGCACTAAAAATTTGGAGTGAATATGGAATTAAAACATAAATTTATATAGTTAAAAAGTTGTAAAGTCTTCTGTTATTCTATGGTTCACGCTCATTTCATGGATCGTAACATATAGTAAATATCATGGATGAATTAAGATCTTTAAAAAAATAAAAGCTCTTGAAAAGTGTGAGAAGACTAATGTTTTACTTATGGATCTTAGGATCATGAAAGCGCAATATCAAAAGTTCTACCTCGTACAGAACAAGATCTGATAATATTATATTATTTGGCTATATAAATAATAAACATATAACTTAAATATAAACAAAGAGCATAATTATGTATTTGTGATGACATGGAAGTGATAAAATGATGATTTTCCATGTTTAGAGTGGATTCTAATGGGAATGATGATTGAAGGGGACATGTAGGGATTTTAAATGGTACGGAAGATTTAATATATACGGATTACGGATTCCGTAACAGAAATGGGTGGTACTGGTAGCCGTAGCCCGTAGGAGACGGAAATGTACACTTTTTTACTTCACTTATCTTTTGGTTTGTCAACGTGCACCACTATCTATCTAAAACCTTTCATGGTGCTTTCCACTTCACTTTTGTTGGTTTTTTTAAATATTAATTACTCCTAGTAAACAGTTAAAGGGAATTGTTATTGTTGTTCCTAACGGGTTAATTAATGACTCCAAATTGTACATGTACTCAGTTATTCTCTGAAATTAAAGATGGTTATCTAACTTTTAGAATCAACTTATATTATCCGAAATCTTAGATCGTATAGTTATTTTGAATCTCATATGATGTTTATTACAGAATAACAAATTTACAAGAACGTTTGTTTTGCACTAACTTCCTCACTTGGAAAATTGCATTTACAAAACTCAAAAGTGAGTTTTAAGAAATGTGCTCCTTTTGCATTTCGGAAATGCAAAAAAGACAACCTACAGTGGATGGGATGTAATTGCACTTCCTCCCTGGGTTCTCCAACATTGAGTAATTTATTTCCAAAAGAATTCAATCCCTCTGTACTTTTTCTATAAAGTGAAATCAAAGTGTGCAAATAAGGATTACAATGAGTAATGCTAGAGTCACAAACAAACAGTTCACAAAATTCACAAACTTACCTTTTTAACACTTTCCTAGAAATAAGATGCACTCAAATAATAAAAGATATTTTAATTTAAAATCCAGAAAAAGCAAGTTTGTAAAGTTTGTGAAATATATGTTTGTGACTCCAGTAGCCTTGCGATCCATCTCTCCTTGGTATCGATTGCGCTTACGTCTCCCAACACATAGAATCTCTCCTCTGGTCTCACTGGAGGATTTACGTGAAAGACAACACAATAAAAAATTTAAAGAAAAATGCCTGGTAGAAGCCCAATTATTTTTGCATTTTGAAAATGCAAAATTCTATGTGAGGAATCTAGTTCAAAAAGTAGGAATATAGTGCAAATTATCTTCTAATTGCGCATTACGATGTTTGATTGAAATATTTTCAAATCATTTTATATGAAAAATGGTGAAGAATTAAAAAACAAAAATTGCATATTTAAAAACTACATAAAAAGTTCTACAAAACTAATTACTATATTATTTTATCAAATATGCAACAAAAATAGATCAACAAAGTGTATCAAATTTGACCATGTGAATAGTAAATGAGAAGATATTTATTTGACGGAGGGAGTATGTTTTTAGTTTCAACGCAAATTCTCTAAATTTTGAGTAAGTTTTTAAATATTTACTCCTTGTGTCCTAATTTAAGGTTCATGTTTAATTTACAATTCATATGATCAAATTTTAATCATGTTTTCTACCCATTTTCGGTACTCATCATTTGCTAAAATAACATAGTCTTGACACTTCTTATTTTTGTTTAACTTTTGATGCAATTTTTAAAAATATCAATTTTATTTTTCAATTTCATACCAATTTCAAAAAATTTGAATAAAAAATTATTTAAGTCAAGCCCCGTAAACAACAACAAACGATTATTGAATAAAAGGAATTTACCTAGATAGTACCAAAACAAATTGACTTTTCCAATGTAGTACCATATGTTTTTATTTCTTAATATAGTACCACTGTTCAATGTCCTCTTGTCATTGTTCAAGTAAATGTCCAACGCCACTGAACATTGCTCAATTTAAATGTCTACCATCATTGGACATTGTTCTGATCCCGTCACTAGACATTATTTAAGTACAAGGTACTATTTAGGGAATAAAAAAATTTAAGTATTTCATTGGAAAATGACTTATGTTTTAATACTATTTAGTGCAAATTTCACAATCGAATACTCCGCACAATTTTAAACTTTTTCATTTATATAAAATAAAAATTCTTTTGCTTTGTATTTCAATTCAGGCTCTTTAATCATGAAATGATTATTTAACTTAATTATCAATGCTTAATAAAATTACGTGGTTATGACTACTGTGTTAGAAACTAGTGTGGGTTAAAAGACTAGTAAATATCAATTTCACGTACGTAGCATTGTATGTGCTTGAATTGGAAAAAAATTCCGATTCAAGATAATATAAGAATCCATAGCAACTCTCTATTTATATTTGGAATAGTACGGATCTACTCTTTGTCACTTGTCTATTGTCAAAGTCTAATTAACCTAATTTTAGTGACCGTCCGACCAAATCTAATAAGGGACACCTAGAAATGGGACTCATTCTTTTTTTTTGAAATTCAAGTACAATTTTGAACAAACAAATTGTAAAAAAAATATCCTAACAAAGTGTTTAAAGCTTTCAACTAATTATTCTAAAATACACACATACACGTAATTTTGGGAGCACTCTTTCAACAAAATTACTCTCATCAAGCTAAAATTGATGTCGAGCTTACTCCCACAGTCCCACAAGACACAATTTTAGACTGAAATGTGAAACGGTTCCTCTATTGACTTTTAGAAAAAATAAGAAATTTATATTTATGGTTGAATTGATTTTTCAATTTTGTCCTTAATGTAATTGGTAAAATAATATATAATGGGTAAATTATTATTGAAAAAAGTATGATGCGAAAGTGTGATATACAAAAATGAAAGAAGAAATTCTTAAGAAACAGACATTACTTCTTTAGCTTAATTCTTAAGGATGGAAAATTAGAAATATTTGCACTAAATAGCACTAAAACTTAAGTCATTTCTCTAAATAGCACTTACATTGTTTTCTTCTCGAAATAGCACTTTATAATGTCCATAATGACCAGTGATGGCAAATATTTACTTGAATAATGACTAATGGATAATGACTAAAAGTGCTACATTGGGAAAAAAAACATATGTAGTGCTATTTAGGGAAAGTCATTATGTTTTAGTGCTATTTAGGTAAATTCCTCGAAAAATTATTGCATGTGGGACTTCTATTAGGAGGGACCCACCTAACAATCAAGATATACTCCTATTTCCCAATTCAACAATTCAAACAATATTTGATTTAATAAAAGATTTTACTAGAGTTTCTTGCTCTAATAACAATTTATATACATGCATTGCACCCACTTGCTTGATTGATCACTAGCTAGTCATTAGTTGTTAGGAGATCTCTTCCTACATATATCGGACATCCAAATTTTCAACATTCGGTGATTCAATCTCCGGCGAGTTTTGAGACGACGACGTGCCGCCTTCGATCACGACAACAATTGTCTCGTCTTCTTGGACCGGATTCACGGTCCCACGATGAAGCAAGTGTTTCTTGAAATGTGCCTTCTCAGAGAGCTCGACAATGGAGTTTGCAAGATGATCGATGCAACCACCGAGGTCCGTGAGGACAGAAGCGAGAGTAAGAGCAGGGACGATGTGAAGAAGGAGGTTCGTTCCCAGCGCAGCCTTGAGATCATCCATGGCGGCTTTCGAGTTTTGGAGGTGGGCTTCGATGGCGGGCGATGGATGTGTCATGGTTTTGATTGTTGATGACAACTCTCTCAGGGCCTTGCTTGACTCGGAACATATGAGCATGCATGGCTCTTTTATTCTCCTCACCATCTCTATTGTTTGTTCTTCTTTCTGCATTCATTCATTTTTCAATTAATTAATCAGCTAGCTAGTAGAATAAATTAATAATGTTGAAATAATAATAATATAATGATTTTATTATATTTAAAAAGAAAAATATAATAATACTCCCTCCGTTCCACAAAACTCTTTCTCTTTCGTTTTTTTGCTTTCCACAAAACACTTCCACTTTCTATTAAAAAACCACTTTTACCCCTACTTTTTCATACCCTACCTATCACATCATACATTTTCACTAATAACCAAACTATCACATCTTACTTTTTCCCATCACATTAGGGGCAAAATTGGAAAGTCAACCAAAATTACACTTTCCTTATTTTTCCCCAAAGTTAAAACCGGAAGGGTTTTGTGGAACGGAGAGAGTAATATATAGGAGTAAGAAAATATAATGCATATACCTGGGGGTGAGAGAATGATGAGAAGATGGAGAGTGTGAGAATATGGGAAGCACATTCCCTAGCAAGAAGTCCCACCTTCAAGTATTGCTTCAATGGAGGATTAGATGTAAGGCCACAATGACGGATCTCCCACCATGCAAATGTTGCCTGCATGTTCAAAAATTAAGTACGACGTGCATTGATAAGCATCATTTGGATTAGTCCTAAGTCTTGACTGGGACTTAAATATATCACTTGCACTATCTATTAAAAACCCCTTTTTACTCCTACTTTTTCTTATCTTACATATCACTTCTTACTTTTTCTTTAATAATTTATTTATCACATCAAGGATAAAATTGGA